GGTGGCGGGCGTTTCTGTCGGCCGTGCCGCTTGGGCATGGCGGTACACACAGTGTAGGGCGCTTGTGGCAGGTGCTCGGTCCGGACGTGCGCCTCCGAGGGGTGCGCCCAGCACTGGTACGTCCTTCTGTGTCCCAGTGGGGGCTCGTCGACGACGACGCCGCCGTGGTCGCCGCCCCAGCCGTGGTCGTCGTCGTCGTCGTCGCCATCGTCGTCGTCGTCGTCGTCGCCGTCGTCGTCGTCGTCGTCGTCGTCGTCGTCGTCGTCGTCGTCGTCGTCGTCACCATCGTCGCCGTCGTCGTCGTCGTCGTGAGCCCCGCAGGTGGACCAAAGAGGGCCAGGCCGAGCTCCAGGCCAGGGCCAGGTGGGCCAGGGAGGCCGCGGACGAGGAGCCCGACGGGCCTCCCGTGGTGCGGCTGCCGACTGGCGACGCAGGACGCGTGGTCGTCGTCGTCCCCGTGTTCCTTCTCCTCCTCCTCCTCCTCCTCCTCCTCGTCCTCCTCCTCTCCTCCTCCTCCCTACCTCCTCCTCCCCCTCCTCCTCCCTCCTCTCCCTCCTCCCCTTCCTCCCTCCTCCTCCCTCCTCCCTCCTCCCTCCTCCTCCTCCTCCTTTTCCTCCTCCACCTCCTCCTCCTCGAGCTCCTCCTCCTCCTCGAGCTCCTCCTCGGGGGGGAACGAACCCCAGACATGATCGCGCCGTGGAAGCATTCAGGATGGGCTGTTGTTCGCCGTTGCCGGCCTCAGGAGGCCCCCGCCGAGACCCGAGACCGGGGAAAGGGTCGGGATTTCGGGGGCCGCGTGCAGTGGAGGCCCATGCCAAGAAACACCCTGCTTGCCTCCAGGGTGCGCTGGCTTTCTTGGGTTCCGATGGTTTTGCGATGGAAAGCGTCACGTTCCCTCACCAAAAATCCACGGACGCCCTGGGGTCTCCAGGTTGGGTTTCTTGTGGGAGGTTTCTTGCGGTCGGGCCCCAACCCCACTTTTGCCCCTACCCCATCCCTACATCCCCCTCCCTCCTCCTCCTCCTCCTCCTCCTCCTCTCCTCCTCCTCTCCTCCTGCTCCTGCTCCTCCTCCTCCTCCCTCCTCCCTCCCTCCTCCTCCTCTCCTCCTCCCTCCTCCCTCCTCCTCCTCTCTCCCTCCTCCTCTCCTCCTCCTCCTCCTCCTCCTCCTCCTCCTCCTCCTCCTCCTCCTATCAGGAGGAGAAATTACCCCAGTGCGACCCTACCTAGAAGTTGGAGCCCCTAGGAAAGCAGCATGAGTTACTATGCTATGCCATGCCATGCCATGCTATGCTGCGCTATGATATGTTTTGTTATGTTGTGCTATTACATGATATGCTATGATATGCTATGTTGCGCTATGCTATATTATACTATGCTAAGCTATGCTATGTCATGCTGTGCTATGCTACGCTACGCTATGTTATGCTATGCTATGTTATGATATGCTATGCTAAGCTGCGCTACGTTTGTTTTTGATGTGCTTTGTGTTGCGTTGCTTGTGCTTTGCTTTGCTGTCGCTGCTGTTGCTTTGCCTTTGCTTTGCTGCTATGCTCTGCTATGTTATGCTATGATGCGCTGTGCTGTGCTGTGCTGTGCTGCGCTATGCTGCGCTATGCTATGCTATGTTATGCTATGATATGCTGCGCTATGCTATGCTGCGCTCTGCTATGCTATGTTGTGCTCTGCTATGCTAAACCTCGGCGAAGCTAAGCTGAAGGTAAGCTAAACTAAGATAAACCTGAGCTAAGATGAAGCTAAGCTACGCTATGATGAAATAAGCTAAGCCAAGCTGAGATCAGCAACGCTAAGCTAAGGGAACGTCACTGGGGGAACCACGGGGCGGATCCTGGGGGAACCGCCCGGGGCGTTTTGCACTACCCGGCCCTTTGAGAGAACACGGTCAGAACCCTTCTAGGCAGAGCCTAGGTAGGGAAAAACACACAGACACAATTAATCGTCGATCCCCCGGAAAATATGGGAAAATATGGGAAGTGGGGGGAAGACGAAAACCCCGAAAATATGAGAAGATATGGGGAATCCTTTTATTTGTGTGTATTTATTTGTGTGTCCCAGGGCCCCTTCCTCCTCCTCCTCCTCCTCCTCCTCCTCCTCCTCCTCCTCCTCCTCCTCCTGGCGTCGTATGTCTGGGACGGCACAGCGCCTCCGTTGTTGGGCGTGGCGGCGGGGCTCGCGCCCCGCGGTCCAGCCGCAGCGTGGCTTGGCGGCGCGGCGGGCACCCGCGAGGGGTTCAGGAGAGGGCAAAAGCGCACAGCGTCAATTTCATCGCCGACTCCCAGAACAGTGTTCGACATAGGGGAAGTGTTAAGTCGGGCGTGTCACTCTACAGGAGGGATGTTCAAGAATAGTCAAAACATCGTATGGGGGCGATGTTTCTACTACTTTCGACTCTTGTTGAGCAATGTTTGACTATTCTACATCTTTCGCCTAAAACAGGAAGTGTCCGGTTCGGGCCGGTTCGGCGGCGGACCGGTTCGGTTGCAGCGGTTCGACGCCGGTCCGGTTTTGGTCGGTCCGGTTTTGCCAGTCCGGGTCGGTTATGCCGGTTCGGTTCGGCGGTCGCGGGACGGTCCGGTTTTGGGGGGGCCGGTTTTGGGCCGGAGGAGGAGAAGGAGGAGGAGGAGTGAGGAGGAGGAGGAGGAGGAGGAGGAGGAGGAGGAGGAGGAGGAGAGGAGGAGGAGGTTTAGGATGTGGGCGACGGCACGGGGGCCCCCGAGGGGGGTGCCGGCACCGGGGGGGGGTGCCGGCACCGGGGGGGGGGGCCGGCACCGGGGGGGGGGGGGCGGCACCGGGGGGGGGGGGGCGGCACCGGGGGGGGGGTGCCGGCACCGCCGGGGGGGGGTGCCGGCACCGGGGCTCTTCGGGGGCTTTCTTGGGCCGGTGGGGAGTCCCGGGGCCCGGTTCGGTTCCACCCGGTTCGGGCTTGCCGTTCGGGCCGGTTTCGACCGGCCGGTTCGGTTCGAACCGCCCGGTCCGGTTTCAGCCGGTCCGGTTCGGGCTCCGGTTCGGGCGGTTCGGTTGCAGGAGCCGCCGGTTCACGGTTACCAGTTCGGTTCGGACTCTTCTTGCTAAAAAATCCGCCTGTAGGAAGACATACCCGACCCAAGGGAAGAGGTACGACGAAAACCCAGAACATCGGGGAAAAGACGGGGGGGAATCCTGGGATTTGTCCCTGCGTACTCTTAGTTGTGCTTCCCTGGGCCCCTTTTGAGAGGTCTCCCTTCCCTTTCCGGGGCCGTGCTCCCCACGGCACGGGCAGAGGGCTTCGGGAGCTCCGCGCGGGGGCTTCTCGGGTCCGCACGGGGGGGGGCCCTTACCGTGGAGGCCCATGCCAAGGAACACCCTGCCAAGGAACCTCCTCCTCCTCCTGCTTGCCTCCAGGGTGCCCTGGGTTTCTTTGGTTTCGACGGTTTTGCCATGGGAAGCGTGACGCTTCCTCGCCAAAAATCCATGGACGTCCTGGGGTCTCAGGGTTGGGCTTCTCGTGGGAGGTTTCTTGTGGACTGGCCTCCACTGTAGCGGCGCCCTCGGCGCCGTCCGTGGCGCGCTCGGGGTCCAGCGCCGATCCAAGCAAGCCGCGCGGAGCTCCAGAAGTTTCTGCGCATGTGCTTGTGCCGTTCTCTTCTCTTCCTCTACAGTGGAGGCCCATGCCAAGAAACACCCTGCTTGCCTCCAGGGTGCCCTGGGTTTCTTGGGCTCCGATGGTTTTGCGATGGAAAGCGTGACGGTCGCACGCCGAAAAATCCATGGACGCCCTGGGGTCTCCGGGTTGGGTTTCTTGTGGAAGGTTTCTTGTGGCCAGGCCCCAACCCCACCTCTGCACAATTACTCAATATGAATACTACTCTCCCTCTTCCCCTGATGACGGTTTGAAAGTGGCCGATCCCCCCCCGCGTATTGTTTTTTACACACAGGTTTCCCCGGAGTTGGGTTTTCGCTTGCATTTTGTTTCCAAAATGCTGCTCTCGCTGAGGCGCCGGCCTCATTATCGGGCCCCGCTCGTTCCGAATCGTGCTCCCGCTGCAGCGCTGGCCTCATTTCCGTGCTTCCCCTCGTTCCGAATCGTGCTCCCGCTGCAGCGCTGGCCTCATTTCCGCGCTTCCGCTCGTTTCGACTCGTGCTCCCGCTGCAGCGTCCGGGACCCCTTCCCGGAGATCTCGACGCGTTCCCTCGAGGAAGAAAAAGCGGCAGAAGCATGGGGAGGGCGAGGAGGAGGAGGAGGAGGAGCAGGAGGAGGAGCAGGAGGAGGAGCAGGAGGAGGAGCAGGAGGAGGAGGAGGAGGCGGAGGAGGAGGAGGGAGGAGGAGGGGGAGAAGGAGGAGGAGGAGGAAGAGGAGGAGGAGGAGGAGGAGGAGAAGGAGGGGAGGAGGAGGGGGGGAGGGGGAGGAGGAGGGGGAGGAGGAGGGGAGGAGGAGGAGGAGGAGGAGGAGGAGGAGGAGGAGGAGGAGGAGGAGGAGGAGGAGGACGAGGAGGAGGAGAAGGGGGAGGAGGAGGAGGAGGAGGAGGAGCATGAGGGGAGGGGGTCTGGTCTCGGGGGCCCACTTTTACTCCCGCCAACTTCATACGATCTTGCGCCAACATCCGCCTGCAAAGCCGCCACTCTTTTGCCAGCTGAAGAAGGAACGGCATAAACATTCACTTGTTGCGCTCCGCGCGGATTCTTTGGATCCGCGCTGGGCCCCCCGGGGCGCCGCCCCTGGCGCGCTCCGCGCGTCTGGGAAGCGGGTCCTGCGCAGATTCCTGCGCAGATCCAAGAGACCCGCGTGGAGCGCCAAAGGTTTATGTTTATGCCGTTTTTCCTTTTCCTATTCCCCAGAACCGGCTCTTCATCCTGAGTCTTGTTTGGACCGCCCCCGCGCGCTCGCCGCAGGCCCGCCCAGCTCGCCCCTCCGCGGCCACCCCCTTGCCTCTTTCACGCGGGTTGATCCGCGACTCCGTGTCCCGGTCTCGTTCGGACGCGCGAGCGGATTGCCTCTGCCGCGCCGCGGCGTAAAAAGTTTGGACGGCCCCGTGGCCCGGTGAGGACCCCCCGAGGCCGGGATGATAGCGAAACACCTTGAGTCGTGATTGGTTCATGACTCGAGGAGGTTTGGGTACTCCGACCCCATCTGGGAGGCCGGGGGTGGAGCTTCTGCGCCTGCGAGGGACATGGTGGCTTCGTAGAAGCCCCTCTGGCCTCCCAAGCTGCCCTTTCAGATGCGTTCGATCGCTTCTCCAGAGCCCCCTGCAATTGCCTATCTCATCTTATGTCGTTACTATTACTTCTTAGGGCACAAGCTGTCATCGAAGAAGGTCCCCCTCCCCACCCCCCACCGCCTCCTGCGCGTCACCTGTACTCGTCCCGGCACTGCGCGGTTTGCCTCGCGATCCAGCAGTACGGCTTTGCGCCTTGCGATGCAAAGGCGAGTCGTCACCGCACGTGCATGCGGACACCTGATATGTCGGACACTTTTCTTTCCTCATCATTTTCAATTTCCCCAGCTCCTCAGCCCCCCAGGCTGCATCTTTGTGTCTCTGCCACCGCTGCTGCTGCCAGTTGACCGCTCTGGCGCTCCAGAGGATTTGCTCTGGACGTCACGCTGGAGGAGCTCGCCGGGCGCTGGATGGCCGTGCTGGACGGCGAGGACGCGAGCATGATCCTGATCTCCGAGAGTGGAGGCGGTCACCGTGATCCGCACCTGTCGATTAGATGGGGCGTGCCAGAGTCGGCGGCGAGCGAGGGGGGGAAGTGAGATGGAGGAGGCCTTCTCAGAAGGCAGCGGGATTGTTGACGCTTGCGAATCCCCACCAGCCCATCCAGAAACGATGCCCAGAGGAATTGCCTCGATCAGGGAAGTGGGCAGCACACGGAGGAAGCCACTATGAGACATCTTGGGATATCTTGAGCCATCTTGGAGCTCATTTTGGGCTCTCCCAGGCGCTCTTGAAATCATCTTAATCAGTGCCCCCCCCAAGAGGCCAACATGTGGCTAAAACGTTCGTAAAATCAATGATTTGGCATTCTCGCCGAGGCCTCTTGGAGCATCTTGGGTGCCTCTGGGGGGTCTCTTGGGGCCTCTTGGGGGTCTCTTGGGGGCTTGTGGGACTCTTGGGGCCATCTTGGGGCCATCTTGGGACACTCTTGGGGCCTCCTGGGCGCTTCTTGGGGCCATCTTGGAGGAGATCGATCACAGGAGGGGGGGCTACTAACTAGGGTCCCCCCCTCGGAAGGCCAAAATGGGGCCCAAACCTTAGTAAAACGAATGATTTTGGCTTCTTCGCCGAGGCCGTTTTGGACGCTCCGACGACTCGCGAGACCCCCTGTCCAGGTCCATGGGGAGGGGGTAGGGGGAGGGGCAAACCCCTCCCCGAAGGGGAAGAAGGAGGGGTGGAAGAGGAAACGCCCCAAACTACCGACGCCCAGAGGGCTGGTGGGACTTCTCAGAAGCCCTCGGGCCTCCCGAGGAGTGTCCTGCGTCTTCGGGGCAGGCTCAGAGCACTTCTCGGAAGGCCCGGGGGACTTCCGAGCCGTCTGAGGCGGCCCGCCCCTTCTCACTTCCCCCCCGGGCGGGGCTCGCCGCCGACGGAAAGACCCTCGCCCTCTGGGAAATCAGCCCGTTCCCATGGGTCGTGCAGAGGGTCCCTGAGATCCGGCGTTGCGAAAAACGGTGCAGCGAGCGAGAAGCCTAGCGCCAGACGGCGCGCGAGCAAGGTGAAACATGGCACCGCGATGTCAAATTGCGGTGCTACCCTGTGTTCGGGAAACATCGCGAAAAACCACGCCCGGAGCCGCGGACCCCATCTTCCCGCGTCATCCTCCGAGCCGGATCGCCCTGTGCGGGTCCCGGGGCCCGAAGGTGGGCGAAGCCGCCCGCCGCGACAAGAAAATTGCAGCGCCAGGATCTCGGGGGTCGCGCGTGGCGCCTCGCGGCCTGGGCCAGACAGCCTGCCCTTCGCCACGGCGGCCCCGCGGGGGCGCGAAGGTATGTAGCCGCGCCCTCGCCGCGGTGCGGCGCGCGAGGGCATCCGACGTCTCTCGTCGGAGCAGAGGCGTCAGCACCTCGCCCTCTCGGCGGAGGCCCGCGGGAGGCCGGCGCAGGCCGGCCGAAGCAAAGAGTGGCCCTGGACCTTGGGATCCTGGCGTGGCGATTTTTTCACACCCTACCTGCAGGGAGGAAAGACTGGTCTACTCTGTAAGAACGGTTTTTTGAAGGCAGATCTGCCTTCAAAAAATGGTCTACTCTGTAAGAACGGCTTTTTGAAGGCAGATCTGCCTTCAAAAAACCGTTCTTACAGAGTAGACCATTTTTTCACACCGGGCGTTCTCGGCCCAATTTTCGGCCCCGTGGCCCTCACAGATCGATCCAGCTCGAAGAGTGACGCAGAAGAATGGGGCACACGGCTCTGGGCGTGGTTTTTCGCGATGGCGCAGCTTTTTCGCAACCTCGGGTCTCAGGGGATGCGATGCTGGCGCAAGACCGTTGGAAGTTGGCGGGAGTAGAAATCAGGCGATCGCAAGCATGGATCCAGGGTGCGTGGGTCAGCGACGGGTCCCATTAACCATGGGAAGTCGCGGACTTCCGCCGCCGAGCGAGGCGGCACCGGCTGCATTTTGGGGAGGGCAGCTCCCCCGATCCATGGACTTGGCGGAGGCCGGCAAGAGGCCGACCGAAGCCGGCCGAAGCAAAAGTCGAAGAAGAAAAAACGCAACAAACACAAATTTTTGGCGCTCCGCGTGGGTTTCTTGGATCCGCACTGTGGCGCCCTTGGCGGCGCCTCCAGCGCCGTCCAGGGCGCGCTCCACGCGCCAGAGAGGGGAGTCCAGTGCGGATCCAAGAAGTCCGCGCGGAGCGCCAAAAGTTTGTGTGTATGCCGTTCCTTCTTCTCCTATAGCAAAAGAGTTGCGGCTTTGCAGGTGGATGTTCCAGATCGTATGAATTTGGCGGGAGTGCAAGTGGGCCCCCGAGCCCAGACCCCCTCGGGTCATGAAACAATTCTCCTCCTCCTCCTCCTCCTCCTCCTCCTCCTCCTCCTCCTCTTCCTCCTCCCTTATCCTCCCTTCTCCTCCTCCTCCTCCTCCTCCTCCTCCTCCTCCTCCTCCTCCTCCTCCCTTATCCTCCTCCTCCCTTATCCTCCTCCTCCTCCTCCTCCTCCTCCTCCTCCTCCTCCTCCTCCTCCTCCTCCTCCTACTTGGCGGGAGGCGTTGGGCAATCTACGGCCACACGGGGACCCTCGACGGGCCTCGGGGCCGTCAGGATGGACTCAGGATGCAACGCCGCCCTCCAGTAATGGGTCGAGACCTCCGGGGGGTCGACGTATGAACATATCATGCTGTCGGGGTCTAGGAGGAGATGTCACCGCCTGTTCCCCGGACCGCGCGTTGCTCCCCAGACAGCTGGCCGCGCCAATTTTTTCGATGCATGGGCCCCGGAGGTCTGGACCACTCCCCTCGGGCCGGCTTTTCGCCCGGAGTCGTTGTTCTGACGGTCTCCCGAGGCCTGGCGGTGGGCCCCCCGGAGGCCGCCAACCGCGGAAAAGCGCACGCTCCAGTTTCTCGGGGAAGCGCCAGAGCGCGGGGCCCCCCGGGGCCCCGCGCGCGCCTCCCCCCGCCCGCCCGTAATTGCCACAGTGCGCCGCGGTTGCTTCCCCCGCCGTCGCTCGCACGCTGCTTGTAGGGGGCCACATGCGAACCCTACCCCCCCTACCCCCCCCGATTTCTGAGGGGGAGGGGGGGGGGTCGCATGTGGCCCCCTATGCTTGGCTCCTCGCGGCCGCCGGTCACAGACATCGCTCCGCGGGTCGCGAGCTGTCTTGTGAGCTGCCGTGGCTCACGCTCGAGACGGGGGTCGATGCAGACGGGGGTCAGCCAGAGCGCCGGATCTTGCAGACTCCTGCCAAGCCAGGGCTGCATTGACCCAGGCTTGGGCGCAGGATCTTGCAGAATCTTGCTGTATCCTGAAGGATTAGTTATGCAAGGCCTGACTGGCCCGAGTCTGGATTGACCCGAGACAGGATCCCCGAAGCTGTGGAAAAGGGGAATCTGTGCATACGGTAGCTCCGTGCGGCGTTGGCGCGCCGGCGACGCCAGCGAAGGCGCTGAAGGCTTAATCCTGCGACGCAGAAGCACCGATGGACACGGTATAACGCCACCAGACGTAACCCCAGACATGCGACGTCCTGATGTTTTCAGGGCGGCGTCCCCTGAAGTCCCGACCCTTTCCCCGGGACCGGTTTTTCGTGCTGACTTGTTTTTCGACGGTCCCGAGGTCCGGCGAGGGCCTCCGGGGGCTGAAAATGGCCAAAAACCTCCCGCCCGGATCTTTTTTTGTTTTTTTTTTTGTTACGACGCGAGCATGTCTGGGATAACGCCACCAGGCCCAGCTGAATTCAACCCTGAACGATCGGGGCCGCGATCGGTTCAAGGCGGGGTGGAGCGGTCGACGCGGTGTCAAATACCCAGACGTGCGAAGTCCTGACTTTTTCGGTGCGGCGTCCCCGGACGGACGCCTCGACCCTTTCCCCAGGATTGTTTTTTCCTCTGGAGTCGTTTTTCCCCACATGTTTCGCGGGGTTCTCGTTTTCATCCCTGCCGCGTCGCACCCGCGACCCTCACTCCCCTCACCTCCTCCTCTTTCTCCTTCTCACACAGCGCAGCACAGCTCCACACAGCACAGCGCACCACAGCGCAGCAGAGCACAGCACAGCACAGCACAGCACAGCACAGCTCAGCACAACATAGCGCACAGCACATTGACACACAGCACGTAAACAGCACAGCACAGCACTGCTCAGGCGTGGCACTCTTTCGACCCCACAGGGGGTGCGCGGGGGGTGGTCTCCCCTATGCGCGCCTCTCGTCCAGGGCACAGCAGGCGTGGCATTCTCTCGACCCCATAGGGGTTGCGCAGGGGTTAGTCTCCCTATGCGCGTCTCTCGTCCAGGGCACAGCAGGCGTGGCATGCTCTCGGCCCCATAAGGGGGTGCGCATGGGGTGGTCTCCTTATGCGCGCCTGTCGTCCAGGGCACAGATGGCGTGGCATGCTCTCGACCCCATAGGGGGTGCGCAAGGGGTGGTCTCCCTATTCGCGCCTCTCGTCTACGGCACAACAGGCGTGGCATTCTCTCGATCCCACAAGGGGTGCGCAAGGGGGGGTCTCCCTATGCGCGCCTGTCGTCCAGGGCACAGCAGGCGTGGCATTCTCTCGACTCCATAGGGGGTGCGCAGGGGGGGGGTCTCCCTATGCGCGCCTGTCGTCCAGGGCACAGCAGGCGTGGCATGCTCTCGACCCCATAGGGGGTGCGCAGGGGGTGGTTTCCCTATGCGCGCCTGAGCATGTCTGGGATAACGCCACCAGGCCCAGCTGAATTGAACCCTGAACGATCGGGGCCGCGATCGGCTCAAGGTGGAGCGGTCGACGCGGTGTCAAATACAGTGGGGGCCCATGCCAAGAAGCACCCTGCTCGCCTCCAGGGTGCCCCAGGTTTCTTGTGTTTTGATTGTTTTGCGATGGAAAGCGTGACGTGCCCACACCAAAAATCAATGGACGTCTTGTGGGCGCACAAGCACGCTTGTTCGCGGGCACAATCCGCTGGGGGGGCAGCGGGAAGTCGCGCGCGGCCGGCAGGCGACGCGCGCGGTGCGCGTCCTGCGGCAGGCGCGCGCGCGCGGGGTGGGGCCC